TAATTGAGATTTGTGAACATGAGAAAGAAATAATAAGAACCATAAATTAATTGATTGAAATGAAATTGAGAAAGTTTCCGGGACAACAAAAATTACTTGCTAAAATAGTATAGTGTATCAACTTTTAACAAACCCCCAACATCTTAATTGTGAGGCAATGGAGTGTCATTACTTTTTCCTAAATCGGCTATTGAATGCGGTAGTAGTGTTAGTAGGACTTAAGTTTATTAATCCCCCGTCTCAACTACAGGTTCTCACTCTTGTTTTTGTCCCAGTAAAAGTTTTCATTTCTATTTTAAGGATAATTTAATAATCACATATTAAAAATAATACATCTTTAACACCATAGTCATCTTTAAGGATAAATATTATATACTTATCAAAACTATTTCTCAAAATATATTTGAATTATCGATAAAGAAAAAAAAGTACTAATATCTTCAAAGTTAATTGAATACACCCATTTAAGATCATAAATAAATTACAAAAGTGTGTAGTTTGTTTTGAAAAAAAAAGCAACGAATTAAATTTTATGGATAAAAATAGGCATTGTTGAGCATTTTCATGACTATACCCATTTTTAGATAAATAAATTAGAAACGTGTGCAGTTAGTTTTGAAAAAAAAAACAATAAGCCGGATGAAATTTAATGGATAAAAATAGGCACTAAGCACTTTTTTGTTTAGGCAAAACAATAAGCCGGATGGCATCTAATAACTACATATACTAAACAAAAAATATATTCCCTCCGTCCCAAAAACAACTCCCCACTTTCCTTAAATGGATGTCCCAAAATTAACTTCACAGTTCAATACTTTCCTTATTTGGCAAATTATCTACCTCAAAAAAGTGCTAAACAGTGCCAAACAGTGTCAAACAATGTTCAAACAGTGCAAAACAGTGCACTCCACAGTAAAGTCAAATTTATTTTCTTAATTTGTTTGAATGTCAAACTGTGAAGTTGTTTTTGGGACGGAGGGAGTATTAAACTGGAATATATGAGAATAAAATATTCTAAGCACTTCAAATCATTACAATAAAATTGTTTAAAAATTATCTAATAACTTCATAATCATTCCTAAAATTGGGTAAAGAGTGGAACATCGTAAATGAAAGTGGGGAAAATTAAAATAGCGAATTTGTATGTGTTAAAATTTGATAAATTTACATTTGCCTAAATGTTATGTCCGTCTTTCTAATTAAGGATATTTTCATTGGGATGTCACAAATCTATATATTCTGAGCTCTTTTTGTAAAGGACTAATTGGCAAAATTTTAAAACCCAGAAGGCCTAATGCTATAAATAAGTAATTTTCCATTTGTAAAACTAATATAAAAACGAAATCATTTTATCCCGTGCGCAGCACGAGTAATGTTTTTTAAATTGGGTGTCCCAAAGATGTAGCTTCTACTTTCTCCTGTCTTGCAAGTGTCCTTTATGTTTTCATTTTTTTTAATTCTTAATTGACTTATTTTGTTGTTTCAATTTGAGTTATTTTTTGATAAATGTTTTAGAACTTAATATGCCTTTATTGCAGCATGGAATTACGGTACATAATAATGAGATCTCAAATTTAAAGATTGGATCTATTTTAAAAAGGATAAGTTCCCTAAACAGGAGAAAAAAAGTTTTGAAATTCGAAAATAGGACTGCGTGATTTTTATTCCTAAATAAAAGTAATTTGTACAAAATTTGACATTATCAAACTTATAACATGACAGTTTTTGCTAAGTTTTTTTCAAACTTGGTAGAAATTATTCCTATTTAGGGAATAAAAACATGAAGATCCAATTTTAGAATTTCAAAATGTTTTTATTCATATTTAAGACAATCTCTGTCTCAAAAAAGTCTTGAGCCCAAAACTTCCATATTTCCTACGTTTAAAATTAATTTTATTTTTATATATGCAATATTGGTGTCATATAAAAGATAATAAAAAATCATTAATTTTGATATATATTTTTTTTTATTATAAAAATTGAATTACAAATAAAAAAGTTATATCAAATAAAAAGATTGAGAGAATTTTTTGGGGTGGGGTCCCATGAAGTATTCTTACTTGAGTATAAGGATGAGGGAAAGTTCCCAAAATAGGACTAAAATAGTTTGAAAATTCCAAAATAGGACTGTCATGTTTTTTATTCCCAAAATAGGAGTAATTACTGCCAAGTTTGGAAAATACTGCCATGTTTGAAGTCTGTTACTGCCAAAACATGGCAGTAAATAGTCCTATTTTGGAAATAAAAACATGTCAGTCCTATTTTGGAATTTCCAAACCTTTTTAGTCCTATTTTAGGTAAATTCTCTAAGGATTAACGTATAAGGATTAGTTCCATAAACTAATCACTAAATTAACGTATAAGGATTAAGGAGAATTGTAATCCTCGTATAACATAAATTGCAAAGTAACGTAGTATAATTAATTCATATATACTAAATTGGAAAGACAATTTTAAATATTATAACAAACTTTTATTTAGAAGATGACACATGGCAAAACTTTCCATAATTGCATATTTGAAATGTATTATTTATAGATATTGATTTTCTAACAAAGAGAAAAGGAATTAATAAATTCTCAAACAATTAGCGATTCTGCAATTAGATGCTTGAACAAAAAGGTCTTGCAAATATGCCTCTTGACCCTTTGAAATAAAACAATTGAATCCTTTTTTCCAAGTTGATACCCATAAGCCGATAATTTTCTAACATATAAAGGGTTTGATTTCTTCATTTCAACGAGTCAATTATTGTATTTGCAGAATCACTAATACTTTGGGGCACACCCACCCTTATCTTTTCAACAAATTATATTTTCTCATGTATTTTTTGGGCAGTAATATTTTCTCATATTTTTAGAAACCTATTTCGATTTTTTGAATTCCTTTTCATTTAGATTTTTTGAATCGAAACAAATCTAAATAAAAAGGACGCAATTTAGGGCGAGGAGAACGTGATGCACAAAGAGAAGGGTGAGGAAGAAGATGTACTAATGTCAGTTCATCCCCCTTCGGAACCGCCGCCATGGAGGGATCAAATGTTTAGGGCCTGTTTACTAACAGAGATATTTTCCTGTTTTCTACTTCTGTTTTTCGTTCTCCAATTTTCTGTTTTTATTTTTCAGTTTTTCTATCTCCAATTTTCTGTTTCTATTTTTCAGTTTTCCATTCTCAAATCTGAAAACATGTTCATCAATTTTTTCACCCAGTTCTCCAATTCCACACCCTTGAGTCCTTGACCCCTACCCCTACCCTTACCACGATCTTACTCTACCCATACTCCCCCCAACCCTTCATACCCACCCATACCTACTCGTAGGGGTCGGGGTAGGGAAGTTATGGGTGGGGGTGGGGTAAGGGGTATAGTCGGGGTGGGGTGGTAAGGTCTAGGGGTAGGGGGTTGGGTGGGTTAGGGTTGTGGTTAGGGGTAAGGGTGGGGTAGTGGGTAGGGTTGGGGTAAGGTAGGGGTAGGGTGGGGAGTTGGGATAGGATGGCGGTAGGGTGGGGCCGATGTAGGGAAAGGGTATGGTGGGGGGTAGGATGGTGGTTAAGGGTGGGGGTAGTGGGTAGGGTTGGGGTTGGGGTAAGGTAGGGGTAGGGTAAGGAGTTGGGATAGGATGGCGGTAGGGTGGGGCCGAGACCAGGGTGGGGCCGAGGTAGGGAAGGGATAGGGTGGGGGTAGTGGGTTAGGGTTGGGTAGGGGTAGGGTAGGGAGTTGGGATAGGATGGCGGTAGGGTGGGCCCGGGATCCGGGTTGGGCCGAGGTAGGGGAAGGGTAGGATGGGGGGTAGGATGGTGGTACGAGGGTGGGGGTAGGATGGCGGTGGGGTGGGGCCGAGGTGGTAGGGGTTAGCGGTAGGGTGGATCGGTGTGGGGCTGAGGTAGGGGGCATGTGATAGGGGGTAGGGTAGGATCATTATAGGGAAAAATGGGTACGCGGGGTAAGGTTGGGTGGGTAGGGTAGGGTAGGGTAGGGGTAAGGGGTAAGGTACAAGGATGGAGGTACCGGAATGGAATCGACATCGGAGCGGGACCGGACCCACAACTAGGTGTAAGTATGCAAATTCATTGCAGCGGCATTGTAGCATCTGCGTTTTCCAAATTTGGAAAACTAGTAAAAGTCACTTTTCTAAATCATTAAGGAAAAGAGAAACATGTCTCAGTTTTTCTGTTTTGGAAAACGATTTGGTAAACGCGTTTTACTTTTTTCCTTTCTCTAGTTTTCCAGAAATTTCTTTGGTAAACACGTTTCCTGTTTTCTGTTTTCCAGTTTTCCAGTTTTCTGGAAAACTGGAAAATATCTCTGTTAGTAAACAGGCCCTTAGGATTTGAAAAAAGACGCTTCAAGTTTGGATCTGACCGCTTGCTATTTATTGATCTGCTTCTCTCTTCGATTTTACTTATGTATTTTTAGACTTTTTACTGTGATTTTGACTTGTTTGTGTTAGAGATATTTTGGGGGTGTTTATGGTCTTTATTTGCCTCAAATCTCCCATATGTTCGGCGAAAAATTTCATTCTATTTTGGGTGATTTTTTTTATGTCTGATCAGAGACTGAGTGAACTCTTCGCTATTTTGAATTTATTGAAATGATAAAGAGTACACTGACCTTAATGGTCAGAAAGAACTTTATGTTGCTCTTTTGGTGGTCAACGATTTATGTTGGTTTGTTGGGTGGTGTTCATCTTAAGGAGTGTTTGCAATTGCTTCAACTTTAAAAAAGTGATTTTTAAAGTGATTTTGAGAAAAGTGATTAATAGTAAAAGTTGGTAGTGTTTGAGAAAAAAGTGATTCTGAAAAATTAAAAGTTGGTAGTGTTTGATAAAATAAGTAGTTTTTGTGTAATAAAAAAAGTGAGAAGCAGTTTAAAGCACCCTTCTACCTGCTTCCAGCTTTTAGCTTTTAAGTTATTTGAAAACACTTTTTTCAACTTTTTTTAAGTCAACAACTAAAAAGCGCTTTTTTAAACAAACCCAAACACTCATTTAGAGTCCGTTAGAAAAACAATTGGCGGATCTTGGATCAAATCGAAATAGGAAGGCGTGTGGGTCTATTTTGGGAGAACCCGAATCAAGTTCAGGTCCGGATCCCTACGGTCTGGCCGTCTGGGGCTGTGCCAAAGAGAAGTGTTTGACAGTTTCACCAATTTCCGGTAGCGGCAATATATTTCCGTAGCACGAGGTCAAAGAGTTAGTAATCTCCCAACATTTCCGTCGATGGCTATCCTACTTGGTCATGTTTCATCGCCGTCGGTGCTACTTGCTCCTCCCTCTTCTGCAATTGTTAGTTCCTTTTCTCTTACCGTCGCCCTAATATTTCGCGTTTTGCTTTACTTGTGCGTTTATTTACTGACCTGAAATCATTCTCAGTGGAATATTCGTCGGAATTTGAAAACTAGTTTTTACCCAAGAGCTGTTGGGGTTAAAGCATGTTTTTTCAACCCTATCCCAGATCAACCTATCATCAAAGAAGCTCTAAAGGTACTCTTCTGCTCTGTTTCTTTTTAATTCGCTCCACTTTCGACTTTATTGTCCCTGTATCTGCAATTACACCCTTTTCTGCAATGTTTTTCAAAGGAGGTTTAGCTTGATTGTTTCTGAGCAAATCTCTTTTTGTGGTCTTTATTTGGAAAGTTCCTCCTGGAAAGAGCTTCATTTCCCAATAGCATGACCATAAAAATAATTATAATTATAATTATAATTATATGATGATAACAATAATAATACTCTGTAATTATTATTATTATTATTATTATTATTAATATTACTATTATTATTATTATTATTTTGCATTTGTGGCATATGAGCATATCACCCCATGACCCATCCAATTGATGTGCATTTCTAACTTGATATAGACTTTCTCACTGAATTATAAACATTTGTCATCTTCTTTTTAAATATGATTTTTTATTGTACCAGTAATCTTTGAAAAGTGCATAAAAACTAATGAAGGTTTGGCAGTTTGGCCGCTTCACTCCTTCAGTGGAATTATTCAAACTTTGTTTCCTGCGTACTGAGTTTCATGCGTGCTACCAGTGATTGTTTTTTGCGTTGAATAGACAATCTTATATAGGTAAAATATCCAGTTTAAGGTTATTATAGTAATGCCTTTTCAGTGAGTAATCTTACTTTAGTAACACACATCTAAGACAAAATAGATGGCCTATTGGAAGGAGTGACATATTAGGGATGAACTAATAAGTAAGTTTTGGGTAGATTGAGTAAGTTGTGTTTTCAATTAAGTCGTGGGTAAACATGACTAATAGTTGAAACTTGAAAGATTGAGCTGTTGTTAAGCTGGGGCTTCTAGCAGTTCCAATGTTGAGGATATTTGAACTTGGTGTGCTCAAAAGTTAGAACGAGTCAAGTGTGTATGAATGATATTGCCATAATCATTTGGTCTCTGCATCTGGTTTTGTGTGTTTCTTTCTAGGAACCCGTTGCTTTCATGGGAGGGATGCTTGCTGGCCTTTTAAGAATTGATCTGAATGAAGATCCTCTCAAGGAATGGGTTACTAGAACTGTGGAGGCTACCCAAGAAATTCATCAAGCCACTGAAACCCAAGCAGAAGACACCCCACTACAGATAGAAATCGAATGACTTTATTGCTAGTGTAAACCTCATGTATCATTTGTGCTTATGTTTTTTATCTTTGACTAATAAATAATACTTCCTCTTGTTTATGACTTCTCATGTTTTAAGATAAAAACTTTTTGCTTTTGATTTCATATTATACTCTTTACTGCCGATGCATTACCCTTCCTATTCAAGGTAAAAATCTGAGTTAATTGGAAAGATTAGTGCCACCAGTTGAATCGCCGCTCGCTGTTGTTGGTTCATCTTCTTCGTCGCAACAAGAAGCCACCAGCTCTGGTCGTGATGATCACCATGTTACATGCCGCTTGCCAGATTGGCTTCTCTGTCGCTGGACGCTCCGCCCACATTTAATTTTAATATAGTCACATTTAATTTTAATAGTTAAAAGATGATGAATGAACAAGCAACAAAAAAATCATACTTGTTTTGCTTGTCTCACAAAGTCACTATGAAGAGGGTGTGTACAAAACAAATTGCACACTTTTTGTATAGCATTGTATGGTACGACGTATGATACACATTACTCATTACTTTTGACTATTTTATACCCGCTCTCATCCAGTGATAGTTACTCAATTTGTCATTAATCACCATTGACTAATAACCGCCCCCAGTGACTTAATCGGCCTTGTCTAGGGGTGGCTCAGGACCGGTCTGACCGGCCTGGGACCCGGACCGGACAGCCACTGTGCGGGCCCGACCCGGTTGAGCGGGACCGGGACCAGCCCGGTGGAGCGGAACCGGGCCTATGACCCGACCTGGGGTGTTTTGGGGGTGGGCTTGGGCTGCAGCTCCCTTGGAACCGGCCTGACCGGTCAGGGAACGGTCCCGGCCTTTTTTTTTTTTTTGGTTTTTTCGCCCGGTTTGGGTAAGAGGCGGGTTGGGCTGGGTGGTTTGGGGTGGGGGTAGAATTAATAAGTAAAAACCAAAACAAACAAAAAATATAATACCCGGCCCCGGGCCGGTCCGGTAACGGGCCTCCATTTCCCAGAACGGGACCCGGTCCCGACCCGAGACTCGGTCCCGACCCTAGCCTTGTCCAGTGAGAATACCACACCACTCAACTTCCCAATGAGTTAATGACACGACTTCCACATCTCAGTGACACCGCCGGGAAGTTAGTGAAACCACTCATGGTGCCTACTGAGACTCCTGGTGGAGCCTAATGACATCATCCGATCATCCAATGGTACCACTCAGATCAGTAGTCAACCATGCCTCCAATGACACAGCCTTGGAGCCGGCATTAGCTTTGTGGAAGAAGTGACACCACTTAATTATGCTTGTCGAGTTCAGAGAAAAGAATATGAAAGTCGATTGTGGTTGTCACCAACATGTGATCTTCGTAGTGGAGTCACCTTCGATGGTAGATGAGTTGTTGTCATCGCCACTGGAGTCTCCTTCTCCGTTGGTGGGTCTATCGCCACCGCCGGTGGAGTATTCTTGCGTGATGCAAGTTGCTGGAATGAGGATGAAGGGACGCTCCAAAAATTACTCGTTGGGCTTAGGATTTCACATAGTGACATAGAGATAGGGGTGGACTCGGGCCGGGCGGCCCGGCCCGGAACCGGCCCAGCCCGATTACTGTTTGGCCCGGCCCGGCCCGGGGCCCGGTGGGTCCACCGGTTCGGTTCGGCCCGGCCCGGCTGCTGGGCGGTCCGGGCTCGGGCCCAGTTTTTGGTGAACCGGCCCGGCCGGTTCGGGCCGGTTTTTAATTTTTTTTTTTTTGAATTTTTTTTAAGTTTTGGGTTGGATTAGGTATTTTGGGCCATTTGAGGTGGTTTGGGGTGGTTTGGGGTTGGGGGTTAAATAGAAGAGCCAAAAAAAAAAATAGAACCGGTTTGGCCCGGCCCGGCCCGGAACCGGGACCGGAACCGCCCACCGGCGGTTCGGGCTCGGGCCCAACTTTCCCGGCCCGAGGCCCGAACCGGGCCCGAGTCCACCCCTACATAGAGATAGATAGATATATGTGGGCATTTCGGTCAAACCATCTTATTTAAGCCACTTATTTGCGTGAAATAAAATTGTTCCTATTTTTATCTATTAAGAAGCTCATAATTCTATTTTTGTCATTAATCCAAATGTTAGTCAATGTATTGTGAATGACTTGTCAAAAATTCGTAAATGAAAGAGTAAGCTGGTCAAAAGTTTGTATCAGAGCATGACTCGAATCAAATTTGTTATACTAAGACTTTATATGGGGCTCTATTTTTTTTTTAATCATGTATGGGGCTCTATTTAAATCATGAAAAGTCAAAAACATGTCGCAATATTCTCCGTAGTTTACAGGGAGAACTGAGAAGCATGCCGGACAATGATTTATTAGTGGAGAAACCAACCAAGAAACTTAATGCACAATCATATATGCATCTAACTTGGCTTCCATGAAATTACCTTGTAACCAATTTACGCGTGCCAAAAGTCCATCTTTCTTTGTCTCCGAGACGATTAGTGGGAAATGATATTCCATGGAGTCCTTGCTCGGATTGCTGTATAAGAGACTAAGAAGCTGTTCTCTTCGCCTGATCTGAATGTTTCTGATCTGAATTTTTTAAGTTCTGATCTGATCTGATCTGAATTTTTCTGATCTGATCTGATCTGATCTGAATCTTTCTGATCTGATCTGATCTGATCTGAATCTTTCTGATCTGATCTGATCTGATCTGAATCTTTCTGATCTGATCTGAATGTTTCTGATCTGGTCTGATCTGGTCTGAATGTTTCTGATCTGATCTGATCTGAATCTTTCTGATATGATCTGATTTGAATATTTCTATGATTATAATTATAATTATAATTATTATAATTGCAATTACAAATATAATTTAAATAAAATTATAATTATAATCGTAACTATAAAAATAATAATAATAATAATAATAATAATTAAATTTAAAATGAAAAAATTTATACTTATTACACTAATTATAAATATAGATATAATTATAATTGTAATTATATTTTTAATTATAATTACTTATATAATTATAATTGTAATTATAATTACAATATTTATCTCTATAATTGTAACTATAGTTATCAATATTATTATAATTACTCCATAAAATAATTACAATAGTAATAATAATAATAATAATAATAATAATAATATTAATAATTATAATCATAAATTATAATTATAAGTATAATTATAATTATTATAATTATAATTAATAATAATTATAATTATATTAACATTAATTATAATATTATAATATAATAATAGTAATATAAATACAATTAATATTATAATAATGATATTATTATATTCATATTATTATTACAATAATATAATAATATGATTATTATTATTATAATTAGTATTATATTATTATAATATTATATTATAATTATAATTATAATCATAATTATAATTATGATTGTAATTATAATTATAATTATTATAATTATAATTAATTACAATTATAATTATAAATATTTATAGATATAATTATAATAAATACAATTGATTATACTTATAATTATAAGAATTATAATTGTAATTATAATTATAATTACATATAATTATAATATAATATTATATTAACATTAATCATATTATTATTATTATATTGTAATAATGATAATGATAATGATAATGATAATGATGATGATGATGATGATGATGATGATGATAATAGTCTTCTTAATAATTACATTTATATTACTATTATTATATTAAAAAATTATAACTATTATTAATATCTTATTTTTTTATCATATTATTATTAATATTATTAATAATAATTATATAATAATAATAATCATAATTGTAATAACAATATTAATAATAATAATTAATATAATAATAAAAGTGATAAATCATGTTTGAACTTTTCTGATCTGATCTGATCTGAATGTTTCTGATCTGATCTGAATGTTTCTGATCTGGTCTGATCTGATCTGAATCTTTCTGATCTGATCTGAATGTTTCTGATCTGATCTGATCTGATCTGAATCTTTCTGATCTGATCTGATCTGATCTGATTTTTTCTGATCTGATCTGAATTTTTCTGATCTGATCTGATCTGATCTGAATAAAATAAGAATAAGCAATAAGTAATAAGAATAAGACGAACAGAACAGCACCTAAGAGTTCGGTTCAGTCAAATTGAATTAAAATCGAACTATAGGCAATTCGATTCATGTGTAGCAATATTTATTCTAAATTGTATTGAATCCAATCAAATTGAAATCAAGAAAAACTGAGTGAAACTGAATTGGACTCAAGTACGGAATATTCAACAAATCTTAATACATCATTACAAAATATGATCTGGATTCCATCCTAAAAGGTCAACTTGATAGAAGGAATAATCCAAATCTTATAATTCCTTCACAAGTATCTGGTGTGAGAATTCAACAAGAGATACAAATTATGTTCCGTGAAACAAGAATAATACGTACTTTTGAAACGATTTTAATAATATTCGCCATTTGACTGTTTAACTAAAGTCATATACAGGCCATTTTATTACTAAAAATTCGGTCATTTAACTTATCAAAAACTAATATTAATATATCAAATAAGTGGCCTTATTTTCAAATACTACTGATTTTCATTTATTTGATGAATTGGAGTATCATTTATTTGATGAATTGATATCAGTTTTTGATGTCATAAATGACTGATTTTCTTACCGAAAAGTGGCTCCATATTGTTTTTTTGGAGAATTCTTTCTAACTTATATAGTATCTGCTCATTGTTAATGCCAACATCCTTGAACTGGGATGAGATTCGAACATGTGACCTCCTCCTTGGGAATGCCACAGTGATGCCATCAGACCACGAAGTACTTGGCGGGCTCCATATTATTATATACTCAAATAATTGGTATTATTAGAAATCATTTTGAAACATGTATTATCATTGGTTTATGGATGGTATGTTGTACTTCCTCAGATTGGTGCTCCACTTTTCATGTTTATTAATGCACAACTTTGAGCATTAATATATACGAGTACAATTCTCTATTAGTAAAAGAAATAAAAAAAAAATAGATTTTGAAAATTACAATGAGACATATATAATACGGAGTAATATTTTTAAAAAATAATTTATTAATACATTAATAAATAAAGTGTAGTGCAAGTAAGACATCTAAATATTATAAAATTCAGCATGTTACCACTGCTTTAAGAATGGAGATATTTAAAGCTATTTTTCCATAAAAGAAAAAACAAATCAAAATCCAATCGAATTGAACTAAATTGGATCTAACCAAACTGAACATCGTATGTTTTCTATTTGGGAGTCATTCTTCCAATCCGATTAAACTGAATCATAAAATGAAAAAAATCAATCTGAAACCGGTATACCAATTTCATTATAAGTTGAGGCAGAAACTGAACATGATGTGAACAAGCGTGATCCTCACAATTAATAAGTAGTGTAAAAATAAGCCTTTACAATACGGAAGCGTATATGTAGACCATCACAAAACCGGGCCGGCCCGCCCAGCCCGCCCAACCGGCCCGCACAAATGGGCGGGCTTGGGCATATATAATTACCCACTGGGCCGGGCCGAGCCCGGCCCGCAATAACATATGGGCG